AAGGATATAAACATATTTCAGATCATTGCACTTTTAAGACAAAGGATTCCAGGGAAAGTGCATTTGCACACCCAAAGTGTCACTGCTGGGTGGTTTTATATTTCTCCAGCAAAATCTATATAGAATTCTGGGAAATGGTAGCATTTAATTTCTAAAATGGAACCAGCTGTACACATTCTTATAAAGTGGTAACGAATCACTGGGGTGAGAAGTTGTGTCAGAGGCACTAGGAAAAGAGGGGTTGAAAGGAGGAAGAGCAGGAGTCAAGCACTACAGCCTGGTGACCATCAGCTTGCGTGTGATTGAAGTTCCCAGTGTCCTCCAGTTCCTGCTGTGGGTGAGATGGGAATAAGACCACATCCCAGAAAAGGTGCATGGTTATATTTTAACATAGCTGAAACAAAAGAGCACAAAATCTTACATGATGCTTTAATCCCAAAAGTCTACACACACCATTAAAAAGGTTAAAAATACATGATTAGAAGAAGCCAAAAGAGAACACCAAGGTGAATCAGAGGACGGTTATCTTGACTCCTTTTAACCAAAGATATGCCTTTGTTGTTCGTGTCTCTGCAGCTTCAAACCACTCAACGCGCAGGTCAGTGGAAAGAATACTGACTCAATCAGTGAAAAGAAATTGTACCCAATTTCAGGAGAGCACAGTTTACTGTTTGATAATTACTTTAGAGCACCGTTTACCCTGTGATATGAAGGATTTGTGAGCTGAAGGAGAGAAAGAAACTTTCATCTGTTTTGTCCCTGAGTCTCACAATTACCCTTGGTGCTGCAGACTTTGCTTTTCTAATCCTCAATTCACAGCCTTGGATGGTTTCCTTTCCTTTCTTTAGTATATTCTTTATTAACGAATGTTTAGCACAGAATTTCACCAGGGTCTGCTTGATGTAACTCAGAAGTCTTTGTATGTTGCAAACAGTAGCATTCCTCAATGTTCTTTCAAATAGTCACAGCAATCTTACACTAACTTGTAGTGACTGAAAGTGTGTGCTCCTTGCTTAATTATTTGAAGTGTTTAATAGGACTTGTACATTGTCTTGATGATAAAACTCTAATTAAATTCAATTATTTGAGGTTTGAGCACAAAATATGGTACATGATTCAATTAAAAGCACTCATTATAGCAAAAGACATATTTTCATTTATTCCTCTCAAAATATTCCCAATTGCTTCCAACACATTTACACAATCATTCTTGCTAATTTCTCACATCATTGTGGAAGTCTTTCCTGAGTTTCTTTACATGTATTGTCATGGCTGCCTCAGTGTTCTGAATTAATTGAAAACATTTATCGTTCATGTTAATTTTGACCTTGGGGAAGAGTCACAGGTTGCATTCCTTCAGATCCATTGAAAAGGGAGATGAGGACACACTGTGATGGTATTACAGCCTGCTCATAAGCTGGCGGGCACTGCCAACAGCTGTCTCTGTATTTGCTACCAGGCCCTGTCAGACAGTCATGACAAAGACTTTCAGAACTGCTTCCAAAAGTGGCAAGAACAGGAAGGCGCTTTTGCCGCTGAGCTAAATCCCCAGCCCCTAGTGGCAAGAACAATGGAACAGAGTCACGTGGGTTCAAAGCAAAAGTAGTATTTTTAGTTTTGAGGGGGGATTTATGGGAACATGTTGTTTACTCTAATAAATTTCTAAATTTATACATTCACTACATATTAGATCACATTTATATATACCTAAAGCTGAAAGTCTAATAAATTGAAGAAATTAGAAAATGTGTCTGAAAAGAATTCTTGTAGCTTACACATGAAATTAAATCCCCAATTACCCACGTGTAGCAGAGCTGAGTCACAGTTACATTAGCAAACTACACTGCCTCCAGGACCCAACTTTTAAATTAGCCCACACAATGAGGGATATTTGCCTGCAGTTTCCAGTTTCACTTCAGGTTTGCCCCTTTTCACTTTACTATAAGTTTTTTATGATGTGTTCAGATTGGCTTACAAGAAAACTCATTAGTCTTCAATTTGTCTTCAGCTGTCTGGATTAAATTATTTGCTATTTAAAGGGGGCTCTTTCCCCCAGCACTGTCCCTTCTATTTTGTTTGGTAACATAATCAGTATATTTGATTGTTCCCCACAATGAGCTAACACTGTGATGTATCATGGTTGGACATAAAAGACCCCCACCTCATGTCTTCAGAGGCGGGTCCTTGGGAAGGCTATTGGATCACGTGGGCATTGCACTCCTCAGTAGATAGATCCTTTGATGATTTCACAGATGAAAGTGTTGTTAGAGGGTGGGGTCTAAAGGCTTGAAGTACTGGAGGTGAGACCATGAGGGTGTGTTCTTCTCCCTGGGTCTTTCCTCTCTCTCTCTCTGCTTCTTGGTAGCAATGGATGAGAAATTTTTCTGCATGAAGCCTGTGTTAAAAAACAAAACAAAACACTGAATTCATGAAGACTCCCAAAATTCTGTAAGTTGTTGTATCCCTAATGCATCATTAAGAGGCAAACTAACACAGGGAGAAACAAAGCACAGAGGTGTGATCTTAGGAATTCTGGGGAAGTGACAGAGTCACAGAACAATAGGCACCCAGGTCATGGGAAGTATTTATTCAGCTCTCGTGGTTCACTTTCTGAAGTGACAACTTCCCCATGAGCCACTCTCTGAAAATATTCTTTTTTATTTCTGATCTTCCATAGCTATGGCCTCACAACTTGAAACTTCCCGAAGGTGGATTAAGTTTGGTTTAGCACCATGGACAGCACTGACCAGTGCTGTGCAGGAGAGCAAAGGCCAGGACTCTGAAAGTAGCAGACACGCGCGCAGTAATGTGGAAACGGCCTTTAGGGGAGGAGGGGCAGAACCGCTGAAGGCTCCATTCAGTGAGGAGCAAGAAACACACTGGACACGTCCCATACAGGAAAGACCAGGGCATAGGCACAGGAGACAGGAGGTGAATTCAGACCTGTGCCTCTCGCTGTTCCAAAACCATGTATTGCCCACAGGTGTCAGGGTCAGTCCTGAGTTATACGATGCTGAGGATTCACAGTGGGGAAGCACCAGGCTCTAAGGCATGTTTTGTTCCTACTCTACCTGCCAGTATATAAAATGTTACAACAATGATTAAAAAGCTCAGTTAATCATATAATTCTCCAAGAATTTATTACATTGACATAATACATATATAATGTGTGTGTTTTTAACAGGGATCCTTATCTTTTTAAGCACAACAGTGCTTCCCTGAGGCAGGACTCAGGTATCAGACAGCTGCTGATCCCCCTCTTGTCCTTTACCCCTCAGGACAGTGAGAGCAGTTTTGAGAAGAGCTGGACCCAACCCTGAGGTTCTTGTTTCTCAGACACTTCTCCTGGCATCCCACTCTTGGAGTGGTTGAGGGCCTGAGGGTGTGGAGCACTTTCCTTCTCTGGTCCTCAGCCCCAAGCTCAGAACAGCAGTTGCTTCCTTCTCAACCTGCGTCTGTGTGCATCACACGGCTGGCCACAGCCTGCCTTGAGGCCCGTCTTCCAAACCTCTCCGGCACTCCAGGGCAGGAAAGGTTATTTCTATATTTGCTGAAGCCTTCACTGCCACCTGGATAGAGATTTGACTTCATCTGATTCTCAGGTCGAGGTTTGTTTCAACCTGAGCAGATAAATTTCCTCCAGGGTTCACTGTCTGTTTGACATAAAACATAAGCAAAGCAATGTGGAAATAAGACAATAGTGTGAAACACCAAACTAAGAAGAATCCCACTTTTTGTTTAGTTTACAAACTACCATCTCTTTCTTGCTGTACATGGTAAGAACATCAAGCCTTTTTTGGAAGAATGCGAGTGTATGATACTGAGACATAGGTGATCAGTGGAATAATGAGATTAAAGAGGACGGAGAAGGGTGGAAAGATGCCAGGAAAAATTTAGGATCTGCTAAAAAAGAATATGGTAAGAGCTTTGCTCTGTTTCCTCCCCTCATGTACTTTTCATAATGGTTGAACCTTAGAGACACTGCAACCATGTAGAGAAATGAAGGCCTTAACACCAACACTGAAAAGCCTCTATAGTGAAAGGGGCAAAGTAGAAAAATAGGGAGAGCGTTTTCTGCTGTCACCAAACAGCTGTCCCAATTCTAAATTTTGCAACATAAAGATTTCCCTTCATGGCGAGAGCTATGTTACATTTTCTTGCACTGATTTCTAAATCATTGCAAATTATCCAGAGATGTTTAAAAGGAGTTAAATGGGGATGGTCTTTGACCTCATTATGAGCCCAGGCAGTATCACATGTGTGTATGTGTGTGTGTGTGTGTGTGTGTGTGTGTGTGTGTTTCAATGCTGTAGCATGGAGAGTTAGAAAATGTAACTGATTATGTCCTACCTAGACATTTTAAACATGTTCTGTCAATGTCTAGAGAAAACCAAACCACTTTAAAGGATTGAGAAATTTTATTGCCTTCATTTTTCTTTTTATACTGTGGCCATCATGTACTCCCAAGTTTTCCTTAGCTGGTCCCATGTCCAAAGGTCATTCCCATAGAATATTCTAAGAAACAGGACAAAAGTACGGGCAGAAACATGCAGAGATCAAGACACAACTAATTACACTACTGGAGCAGATGAATTTTGTCCTGTGGGCCACTGAGAGAAACAGAGTCTACGCAACACATCCTATCCAGCCTGGTTTTAGCTAAAGCCTGGGTTGCTTAAGCTTCTCTGAGTGACAGAAATGAGCCAGCCCTGCAGCTGTGCCTAACACAGCTCGACACCTGCTGATTTGCATGTCCCAGAGCGCAGCAGTATAGGGACTTCTTAATAGGCTGTCACACCCTGTGCAGGAGTCAGTCCCAGTCAGGACACAGCATGGACATGAGGGTCCCCGCTCAGCTCCTGGGGCTCCTGCTGCTCTGGCTGCCAGGTAAGGAAGGGCAGCCCTGGGAACTTACTCAGCACAGTGTGTTCATTATTTCTTGACTCTTCAGAGAAATTTTCTTAAACCCTGATTGGTTGTGTTTGTGTTTCCCGTGTCAGGTGTGCGATGTGACATCCAGGTGACCCAGCCTCCACCCTCCCTGGCTGCCTCTTTAGGCGACACAGTCACCATCAGTTGCAGGGCCAGTCAGGGTGTTAGCATGAACTTGGACTGGTTTCAGCAGAAACCAGGGAAAGCTCCTACTCTCCTGATCTATAATGCTAAGAATTTGCACTCTGGGGTCCCATCGAGGTTCAGCGGCAGTGGATCTGGGACAGATTTCACTCTCACCATCAGGAACCTGCAGCCTGAAGACTTCGCAACTTATTTCTGTATGCAGCATAACAGTAACCCTCCCACAGTGATTCAAGCCATAACAAAAACCTCCCAAAGAAGCAGAAGTGTGAGCCTGGGCTGCCCAGCTGCTCCTCCTGGTGCATCTATTACAGCTTTCATTTGTGACTTCATCTCAATAGATGTAATACAGTATAGGAACAGAGGAAAAAAGGATAAAAACTTACATCATCATCTCATCAGACATGGACAAAGCCCTTGACAAATCTAGCATCCATTACCAATAACATCTTTCAACATAATAGATATCAAAGGACCTTATCTTAATCTTATAAAAGTCATTTATGACAAACCAATGGCCAAAAATATAAAATTTGGAAAAGCTTAAAACTTTTCTTCTAAAAGAAAGAACAAAACAATGATTGCTTTGACCACCACTTCATTTAATATAGTACTGGAAACATTAGCCAGAGGATTGAGGCAAGGTAAAGAAGAAAAAAAGAATATTATGGGGAAGGAAGAGGTCAAATTATCATTATTTGAAGGTGACATCCTCCTTTACATAGAAGACCCAAAAGGCATCAAAAACTCCTAGAGTTTGAACAAGATTCAGTAGTGTAGTGAGATACAAACTCTGCACATAAAATCAATTATGCGCTGTCCAGCAAGAGTGAACAAACTGAGAAATAAACTAAGAAAAGAGTACCATTCACAATAGCACCAAGGAAAATGGAATACTTAGGAATTCACACAAGCAAAAAGATGAAAGACCTGTACGACAAAACTACAGAACTCTGACAAAGGAGATCAAAGAGGGTAGGAAAAATGGAAACATATCCCCTGTTCCTGGAAAGGCAGAACCAATATAGCCAAAAAGGCTGTGGTTTCAAAACTTATATAGAGATTTAATGTAAACCAAATCAAACTCCTAATAGGATTCACCAAAGAATTTGAGAAAAAAGAAGCCAAAAATTCATGTGAAAGCAGAAGAGATTAGAAGAGCAAAAGCAGACCTAGTTAACAAGAGCAAAGCAGAAAGCATCACAGTTCTGGATTTCAAGCTATATTACAAAGCCATAGTGATAAAAAGTGCACAGTACCAGAATAAAAATGAACATGTGGACTAAGAAACAGAAAAGAGCATGCAGACAAGAGCAGTGTCATGCAGTCTTCTCGTCTGTTGCAGAGGCAATGAAAACGTACCCTGGAGAAAGAAAGTCACTTTCACCAAGGATGCTAGGAAAACAGGACAACATAATGCACAGGCAAGGACTTTTTTAAACAGAACCCCAAATGTACAACACATAACATCAAGAATCAACAGATGGGATCCTATCAAATTAAAAGTTTCTGCACAGCAAAAGAAACAACCAATAGAGTGAAAAGACAGCCTAACAAATGGAAAAAAGTATTTAGCATCTATTCTTCAGAAACACAGATATGTGGAACACTTGCAATAATCAAAGTAATAAGACCCCTTAGAATAAAAGATCCAGTCAAAAAGTGCCCACATGAAATGAACAAAACTTCTCAAAGGAAGAATTACAGGTAGCCAATAGATGCATAAAAAATGTTCAATATCTCTGATCCTGGAGAAATGAAAATGAAAACAAAAAGAGTAAAGGCTCACACTACAGTTACTCATGCACACCCATGTTATACCAGCTCAGCTCATAATACCAATGTGTTAATAGTGGCAATTGTCCATCACGGGATAATGGTTAAATAAATTCTGATGTTCCTAAGAATGGCTTTAGAGTATGTCAAAAAGGATAAACTTGAGTCATTTGAAGGGAAGCAGATTCTGCTTAAGATTATAATTTTAACTTAATACATCAGACCCCAAAAACTGAGTATGTCATGGTGTGTATTGTATGAAAATCTCAAATATAAATAGGCAGGAAAATAACAAGTTACATAACAGGAAGCAGGCAGACCTTTTATAAAAGGGAAAATGATCTGATATGGAGAAATGGGAGAAAGGGGGAAGAAATAAGATGTGTTACTTACATGTGACAACTCCGCAAAGAAAAACTAACTACTATATCCTCCAAATATGTACTAATTAAAATTTAGGGGCTGGGGATTTAGCTCAGTGGCAAAGCGCCTGCCTGGCAAGCGCAAGGTCGTGAGTTCGGTTCCTGGTACCGGAGAAAAACCAAAAAAATAAATAAATAAATAAAATAAAATAAAATAAAATTTAATGTTAGTATAAAAAAATAAAAGAAATGATATTACATGAAAGAAAATGATGTTTACATTAAATATGAACCTCCGTTCCTAATTAACCCAGTGAAACAGATCTGAATCACTAGCTAAGTGCCCATACTCCACTGCCCAAAAAACCAAATTTTAAACCATCCAGTGGAAGTAGACTTCATTGTCTCTAACAGTGAGTTTTATTTCTGTCCTGTCATCTTTCCCTTTTGCAAATGCCTTTCATGATCTGTTCATCTTGGTTCACAGGACAACTAATTAGGTCTTCAATTTGACGTCATCTGTGTGGATCAAAGGATTTGCTATGCAGAGAGAGTTCTCTTTCCAGCATCAGAAACCATCTCTTTCTCTTTCTGTCTTAACATCATCGGTCCATTTAGAAGTTCTGCCATGAGGTAACATTGTGATGTGTTAGGATTTAGAAAGAAAACACCCCCATGTGCTGGGGCATCTGGAATCCACTGAGCCCTAAGAGCCCTGTACTGCTGAGGGATTCATCCATTGCAGGGTTCATAGCTGCAAGTGCTGGGAGATTTGGGTCTGAAGACTTGAGTCCCTGGAGCTGTGACCTGCTGCCAAAATTGTCCCACAGGAAGGTGTCGGTCAAGAACAACTGGGAAGGAGGTGCTGTGTGGAGCAGCATTACTCTCTGAATTGCAGAGGTCAACTTGCCAATTTCCTCACCACTCTACAGACTGGGATGAGGTAGGCAAAGGGAGGGACTCAGGAATCACAGTACAACTGGGACTTTCTTCTGTCTCAGCTACCCACCTGCCTCCATATCCCTACTACTGTGCATGCTACGTGTGAATAGGAGGCTTGTCTGACCTGGCTTTCCCCCAGTAACAGGTGTTGGAGGATGGGAAGAGTGAGGCTGTGTTCAGAGATGCAGAGCTGGAGCCCTCAGTGTCTGTCCATGATGACGCTAGTGCCCTGCTGGGATGCCCAGGGCCCAAACACAGCCCGAACTGCATCTGGAGGCTGTCATGTGCCTCACACAAGCTACATTTTTAACTGTGTGGTGAACCACATGCTTTTCAGAATTCTGTGTAAACTGATCATCTTTTGTCCTTAACTGTTTAAACAGCTGATTGAAGAGAGATGTCCTTTGTGTCTCCCAGGGAATCTGAACTAGGTACCATTGAAACGTTATGGAAATTATGAAACTGTATCTGAAAATCAGACAAGTAATAGGGCCTCAAACTGAAAATTCTATAAATTGCTATGTCCCAAATCGGCCGCTAGACGGCGAGCAAACCCTATAATAAACCAAGCCCAGAGACCTGATGTCGTGAAGACCTGGGACACACAAGAGCTGCTGCTCCCTTGTCAACAGGGAGCCCCTAAGAGCTTAGAGCTCTCTCGCCAGTCTCAGGGTTCACATTTCTGCCTGGACTGTTCACAGGGGCCATGGCTGCCTCATGTGCCATTTTCTGAATAGTTTTTATTTCTTTCTGATCTTCAGTAGACAAAGCCGGTGAACGTGAAACTGCCATGAGGAGTCAAGAAGCACAGTCTGAGCCCTGGGTCAGTACCAGCCAAGCACGTGCTGCAAAAGAAATGCTGCCATCCTGAAGGTGCAGCACCAGTGTCTGGTCGGGCTGAAGTGGCCTTGCGGGTTCAGAGGAGTTGGAAACAGAGCACACTGACGGCTCCATTCAGCAAAGAGGAAGACAGTGTGGTGTGTCCCACGGAGGAGGGGCAGGAATTGAGCAGGGAAAACCGGATGTGACATCAGATCTGTGTCCCGGTTCTGCTCCCAAAGGGATCTGCATGGTCCACAGGTATGGGGCAGGGCCTCTGCTTCCTGATGCCCAGGCTGTCAGTGCGAAGGAAAGGTGGAAATGAAACCGTTGTGGGTACTCAGTGCTCATGGTTGAATTGCCAGAAGTTAAAAAGCTACATCAGATATTGATGTAATGTTATTCATGTATGTCTTTAATACGCATAAGGGGAACACAATAGACCCATAATGTATGTATGCATTTACCAGGGCTCCTTATCTTTCTAAACAGAACATGGCCTGACTGAAGCAGGACTCAGAGATGGGACATTTGCTGATCATGGTCTCATTCGTTTTCCCTCAGGACAGGGAGAACAGTGCTGAGAAGAGCTGGACCTGACTCTGAGGTCCTGGGTTCTCAGACACTTTTCCTGGCCTCCTACTCTTGGCCTGGTTCAGGGCCTGTGGAGTGGAGCTCTTTCCTTCTGTGGTCCTCAGCCCCATGCTCAGCACAGGAGCTGCTTCCTCCCCAGCCCGCAGCTCTCTACAGAGCAAGCCTGACTGCAACCTCGTTTGTATCTTATGTTTTCTAACTCTTCCTGAATGTCACAGGCAGAGGTCTGTGCTCCCTCAATTTTATACACCTTATTTCACCATTTCCGGAAGTCAGCCCTGCACCTGCATAACTACAAATTTGAGTTCTTCTCATCATCAGGGCAATGCTTATTCCAACCTGGACAGATAAATGTTTCCTTCATATCTCTGTAACCCATCAAACAAATGTTTAAAAAGCAACATTAAATTAAGGCACATAGTTTTTAAATATAAACACAACAACCATCCACTTTTTCTTTGGTTTACTGAGCACGAGCTCTGTGTCAGTACACGTAGCAAGAACAATCAGCCTCTTCTAGAACAGGAGGTGCAAGGACTGGGATCCACATGTGATCAGCTGTGAGATAAGAGTAAAGAGGAAGAGGACAGTGGAGCGGTGTCAGGAAGGATTTTGCTTCCCTGAAAAAGCAAGGTGGTGATGAGATTTGCCCGCGTTTCTCCCAGGAATCCTTATTTAAATACTTGACACTAAGAGACAGTGAAGCCCTCATGAGGACAGCAGGTGTTGAGCCAAAAAGAAAGATTCTCTGTGGTGACAGAGACACACAGAAAAACACCAAAAGGTTGACATTTCCCTCGTATCACCAAAATGCTACACAAATTCGTTTCTCCAACAATCTGATTTCTGTTTATTGGCTGATACAATGTCCTGTACTTGCCTCAAAATTCTTGTGAATTATTCAGAAAAGATATTTGATGGGAAGGAACTTGGAAGGTCTTTGATCTCATTAAGAACACGGGCAGCATCTTGCACCTGTGTGTGTTTAAGGGAACCGGGGCACCAAGAGCTTGAGAATGTATTTGTCTTCTTCCTACAAAGACATTTTATACAAGTAAGACCAATGTTTAGAGATATCTGAACCACTTTAAAGAGTTTAAAATGTTATTGTCTTCATTTTTCTTCTCGTAATTTACCCAGGATACACTGTACCCTCATGTTTAATTTCTCCCAACTCCAAGGGTCACCGGCATAGAACCGTGAATAAAAAATAGGACAAATGCATGTGCAGAACCATAAAGTATGCAGGGCATCGTTCATTAGACTACCCTTTGCAGGGATTCTGCCCATGGCCCCCATCAGAAGCACAGTCTCTGCAGCAAATTGTATCTAGAATGGTCTTGCCTGGGAAATGGGCCCCTTTGCCTGTCCTGAATTACTAAGAGGCAGCCCTGCAGCTCAGCCCAGCCCTACTCAGCCTCTGCTCATTTGCATGTCCCAGATCACAGCCCTCTGCCCTGAAGATTTATGAATCTGCTCACACGCTGTGCAGGAGTCAGTCCCAGTCAGGACACAGCATGGACATGAGGGTCCCCGCTCAGCTCCTGGGGCTGCTGCTGCTCTGGCTCCCAGGTAAGGCCGGAGAGCACTGGGCATTGACTCACTCCAATGTATCCAGTGCTTCCTAGCCCTTCACAGAGGTTTTCTTAAAGCCTGATTGATTGTGTGGTCTTTGTGTTTATGTTTCCCGTGTCAGGTGTGCGATGTGACATCCAGGTGACCCAGTCTCCATCCTCACTGGCTGCCTCTGTAGGAGACACAGTCACCATCAACTGCAGAGCCAGTCAGAACATTTATAATGCTTTAAATTGGTATCAGCAGAAACCAGGGAAAGCTCCCAGGCTCCTGATCTATGGTGCAAGCAATTTGGCCTCTGGGGTCCCATCCAGGTTCAGCGGCAGCGGATATGGGACAGATTTCACTCTCACCATCAGCAGCCTGCAGCCTGAAGATGTTGCAACTTATTACTGTCAACAAACTTATGATACCCCTCCCACAGTGACACAAGCCATAACAAAAACCTCTCAGGAAGCAGAAGCGTGAGGCACAGTGGGCCCAGCTGCTCCTCCTGATGTCTCCACCTGCTGAAAGTGTTTTCTAGCTGCAGCCAGGGCTTGAAGGTGACTGGACGATTTGGTAGAAGGGTTCGCAGATTCCTTTCTGCAGTGAGTACCTTTCCTTCTCCTCAACCCCAGCAGCCCTGAATATCAAACACCTCACAGTATAAAGGAAAGTACGTGATACTTGAGGATTCTCTGTTGTGGCATCATTCAGGACTCAGTGAACAAGGAAAAGCTATTCCAGAAACTTCAGTAGGAAATGTTGTAATACAAGAAAGTGCAGCCTAACTACAGCTTTACTGTCCTGAGGTACTCAGAGCGGCTGATACTGGGCACGGAGAGTTCTCTGGCTTTCCCAGATGGTGTAGCACTGTAGAGTGAGCCACCTCACTGTGATCTTAAGGCTGTGGAGAAAAACCAAGAGTAGTGTTATGATTCTGTCCCTTGTCTGAAGCAGCTCTTCCTGTGAGTTTCCACCCCTCACCTCTGATTTTGTGTCTACCTAGTGATTTCTCTAAGCACTGAACCTGCTCAGTCTTTGAAAACTCATACAGTGGCCTCTATGTAGTCAGCTCTACAGCACGGTGAGGAAGTAAAAGTAGGTATGAGAAATTTCCTTTCAGAATGATGGTGATACTGGGGCTCAATAGCTGACAACACAGGTTGGTCCATCTTGCCGTAAGTGTCAGATTGTTTACAGTTAGGTAGAGAACCCTCCCCTAATATGCTAGAATATGTGTCCATATATTGTGTGTGAATACCAGATCATATCCTAGAATATTATTAAGCCATGCACTGAACTGAAAATGAGAAAGAATTACATGATGCATATAAAAACTTTCACGAGAAGTTTCATATCAACTTACACTTGAGAAACCTTTCTTGACAAAACAAAACAGAAGTGATCTCTCCACATTAGACAGTTTAAAATTTTCAGAACAAAGTATTGTTGGCTCGCTGTTATAATTGGACTTTTTCCTGGTCCAAGTTTGGTAAACAAGTATTTCCAATAAAATTCCAATCTAAATCATGCCACTGAGCAATGTACTCTCATAGTTTCAATGATACGATACGTAGAGGTTTCCCTTATGGACAGTTGCTGTGCTGTCTGCTTGGCTTAGCACCTTCTCTGTTTCATCTTGAGGAAAACAGGAGGTTATGAATGAGACAGTGCAGAAAATATTTCCACTGTAACTCTTGCTCTTCTCCCATAACTTAGTTCTACAGGCCAGCTCAGGAGCAAGTACCTCGCCAAGGACATTGGAATGACATTAATATAGTCCCGCTCCATTGTGAGAAACATTTAAAGGTACGCAGGAATGCCTAATTCAACAAGGTGGATGCAGTGAGAACAACAGTAACTAAAAGGGAAGAGCGAGGAGTATCATAATTCTCAGACAAATGGCTATGTAGACAGAAAACAAAAATCAATCCACAGAGAACGAGGAGCACTGACAGTAGAAATGGCAAATCAGCAGATTCGAAAACAGAATGGAGAAGCAAAGTTCATTTATATACACAATAAGTAGTTTGAAAAATAAAACGTTGGAAATGAGGCAGAGCTTCACCGTACAAGATGGCAGGAGTTCAACAATGGTTCTTACACTGCGTATTATTGTTTTCACACCAGTAGTTCTGATTACCAAATTCAGGCCTATAAAATTGGTCAGGAAAAAAGAAAACTTTAAGCGCTGACTTTTCCTCAACAATAAACCACAGACATCAGCAATACACCTAGTCTAGCTATCCTTATATATACACATAAATTTTGTTTTTCATTTTAAAAAATCAAAATGACAAAAACAAATACATAAACAAAACAGCATAGAGAGCAATAAAAATGATACACAGTATCAAACATGGTGATAGGATATCAACAATGGTTGTTATACTACACAATGTCGTCTTCAAATCGGTTGCACATATAATGAGATACAGTCATGCAAGATTGATCAATTACACATTAACAGTTCCTTTCAATAAACCAACAGATATCAGTAGTACAATTGTCCTGGCTATCCTGTGTACATATATGCATATTTTTTCCTCTTCCTTCTTTCTTTTTCCTCTCTCCTCCTCCATCACAGTTGCTCTTTCCTATTTGAGCACTTTCTTTTCCCTTTCACTACATCCACTGTACTTTTCAGATTTTATGTACTCTTTCAGGTTCTTATAGTAGGGAGGAAATATGATGCTTTACACATGTGAATGTGATTTATTTCAGTAATGAGTATGGTCTCTAATTTATTATTATTATTATTATTGTTATTATTTTACTTGTTACTGTCTTTGATTGTTTGATCAATCTTACATTCTTATGTCTGGTGGACTGAGTATCTTCGCTGAAGAGAACAGTATGTAATGTAGCAACCATTGTAAATTCCTAACATTTTGTTCTAAGGTCATGTATCATATTTGTTGTTTTTGTGCTGTTTTGATTTTGTCTTCTTTGTTGTTTTTTCACTTTTTTAATTTTAAAATAAAAAACAAAAAAATGGAGTGAAAAATTAAAGTTTTTTTAGAAAAGCATTTATATATTGTCACTTACGGTATAATCACAAATTTCAGGAGAAAACAAACATGTGTAAGTCTCCTAGCTGAAATTACCAGAATAGTATTAAACAACATCATCATCATGAACAAAAACAAAAAATACTTTAGTTAAGGAAAGAGAGCATCATACTTATTTCAATGACTTAAAAATATCACTCATCATCCCCCTTTGAAATGAAAATGCATCAGTGCTTCCCCATTGTGTAACAGGTGTCCAGGATGTGGGACGATGGCAGCAGGGCTGAGGAGGCTGCAGGGCGAGGACTCGCAGAACCGGGTGCAGGACGGTGGTGCCGGCCCGAGCGCAGCCGCGCTGTGCAGTAGAAGAGAAGAGGGGGAGCAGAGACAGCCCAGGCACAGGCGCGTCGTGTACGCATGTGACTCACAGCTTCTCCTTCCCTTGCTGAGCAGAAGGGAGGCTGAGTGAGACGAGATGAGGGAAGGGGGCTGTGCTGACGCTGTTCTCATTCCGGAGCTTCAGGGCCCAATGACAGCAGTGCTGAGAGCAGCCGGCCCCTCCCTCCTCTGTGCTCCTGGACTCGCACCTAGAACTTCCGCTCCCTGAAGACACCTGTGTTTCCAGCATTTCTGCTTAACCGTTCTTTTGTCTTTAATTATACAGACAATTTATAGAGAAAAAAAAATTGCTTTGAGTTTCTAACAGAGTCTAGTGATGGATGGAATAGTATCAGATTTATGAAAATGTGTAGGAAAATCACAGTCAAGGCATTGGGACTGCAAACTGAAAATTCTGTAAAATGCTATGTTGCAAACCTGCCAGTAGATGGCAAACACACCCAAGGATAAAGGAAGGACATTTTTAGAAATGGGAAATGCAAGTGACCCTGTTCCTTGATAAAAAAAGGAGCTTGAACGCATTAAGCTTCCTTCCCATCATTCTGACCAATCTAACTTAGCACATAATTAAAGTAACATTAAATTAGAGCGTGTGTTGTGAAGGATCAACACAACAATCCCAGTTTTCTCTGGTTTCTTAAGCCCCAGCGACATCTCCTGCTGCATGGTAAGAGAACACACCTTCCTGCAGAGCCAGTCAGATGCAGGACTGTGAGACCCGCCTGGTCAGCTGAGAAGTGAGATTGCAGAGGAGAGAGAAGGGCGGTACTGATGATCACCCAGCAGTGGAAGTAATTTATGCCAGTACAATATGTACATAAAATGTTTTAGGCAGCTGCTATTGTGGTCTATGTATTTTATAGTCTATAAATTTCACTACAATTCCAAAGTAATGTTTTAATAGTTTAGCTCAGAAGTCATTGTGTTATATTCTATTTATCTGAGCAAATGGGCATTAGGAAGTAATCACTTTGTGATGACATTGCTCACAGCACATTAAGGAACAATTTGTCAGGAGTCTTTACAGAGAACTTCCTGGAAACTATATATTAAATTACATTTCAGCCTCCCGCAAATCCATACAATTTAGCAGGACATATTCTTCTGTTCAAATTGGTGGTCCCTTCATGATGTAATGGCCCCACGAGCATAAAGTCAGTCAACTGCATAAGGACAGTGAAGCCAAGAGCTCACCTAGAGTTTATCATGTTAAACTACTGCATTTTGAAAATTCAGTATGTATAAGTGTAGGTGTCTGAGTGCTTCAACTGGCATAATACTCTCAGAGCCATCTTGTGGCATTTTTCTCCACAAATCTAAGGTCAAGTGTTAGAAAGAGCTATCTGTGCATAAATCTGTTGTGCCTATTGAAAGCACTGCGATTTCTCATTAGTTTTGCCTCTCCATGCCACTGGGGTTTACCTGTGAAGGATCAACAGAGGACAACTTTCTCCAGAAACTTTCACATCTAGAAATATGAGGGAGTGTGTGGAATGGAAAAAAACTGCATGTATCATGCCGATCAGTTTTCTTTTCCTCGTCTGCATTCCTGTTTTCTATTTACCTTTAGGAAATAAAAAGCAACCTTAATATAAAGACCTTGCTTTACATGCTTTATCTCAAGCTACAAATCTTAAGTAGTTTTCCCCAAAGTCACCGTGTTATGATGTCCAAAGTCGGATGGATAAAAGTAAAAATTCCCTGCCCTTGTTCTAAATAAAATCAGCAATGATATTAGCTATATTTGGAGACTTCTTTTTAGTCTGTGCATATGCCTTTGGTATGTTATTTCTGATACATGTCATGTCATCCTAGCCCAGTGAACTAGGAAGATTCACATTTACTGCCATGGAGTTGGTTTGAACCAGGAGGTTTTGTTTAGTAGTACTGGAATGCAAACTAGAACTTCCCTATTCTGTATCCTTCTCCAAAGCCCATCTCAGAATGAGCTGATTTATGGAGTACAATAATAATCAATAATCAACAACTAAAAAAATCCATTGTTACTGCCAAAATTCCCCATATATCCTCTAGTATTATCTGCAATATTCTGACTTAATAAACTTGATAGAATAGGGACTTGGACAGGACTGATTGTGTCCTGGACGTCATGAAAAGGCTACTGACTTTTTGGGTACTAAATGTGAGTGTCTATCATAGTGTTCTTTTTCCTCTGGGGAGAAATTTTAAAACTCTAGAGTCCTTAGATTGGCCAGACATGTAGGTAGAATGCTAGAATTTACACTAATTTTCTTCCTGAAAACCATAAACAAAACTGCCGTTCACCCTTTCACTGAGCTTGGCTTGGCTTCTACCTCTAATAGCCAGGAAAATTTCCAGTTCCACAGGGTCACTGGATGGCTTCTCATCTTCATTCCGCATTTTGCTCTTCCTCATTCCCCTGGTGTGATGTTTCTCTTGTCTGCACTTCTCAATAACTAGTCTTTTTTTCTCCATTAGTTTTATGCTAGTCTGGTGAGAGATTTTAAGGACAGTGAGTTCTCACAATCTTACAACACAGTGAAAGTCAACTAAGCGGTAATAGTAAGATTCTTTAACGAACTCTTCCTATTATGATTGTTGCTGAAAGTCCATCAGGTGAAATCTTAAAAACTATGTAAAGGAAGCATACAAAACTCACATAAACTCTTGATGGAAGTGTAAGACCACACAACTGCTTTGAAGAAGAGTTTGGCAAAGTTTTAAAACTTACCATAAAGTCCAACATTTACGCTTCCAGAACTGTGACACAGACACTTCAAAAAACGACCGTGTGAAATCTGGTGTAAGAGTATTGAGAACAGCTTTACTCAAGTGGAAACTATCAAATGGTCATCTGTAGATAAAGCAATAGAGGTGATAGCACCACATAATTAAATACTCCCTAGCAATAAAAAGTATTGGCCTATGGAACAGGAGAGGACCCACAAAACTACTCTATTGTGTCAAAGCAGCCAGCTACTAAAAAGCACATGCTGTGCTATTGCTCTTGTATCAAATTCTGGAAAAGAAGTTCTACTCTGCGGTGGTGATAGGTGGGTCGCAGGTTAGCTGGTAGGTGTGATGGAGAAGAAACTGATCACAGAAGGAAGAAAAGTACTTCAGCAGGTTATGAACTTTATTACATCTTTGGATTCACAAGTATGTATGAAGATCCATTTATATGCCTACATTTATTGAATTATATTCTTAAAGTCAGTGCGCTCAATTATAGCTAAATTTGTCTTTAATAACGATGGTTAACAGTATACACAGTAAGTGCAGAGGTCAGCTGCGTAGTCTTCACACCTGTTCCTGCATTTGAGCCCTGTGAGCAAGAACTTTCTCAACACCACCTCAGCTCCAACGTTAAAGGTCTGTCTGTCTTTGTGCAAAACGCTTATTTTCTTTGTGCTCTAGTTTTGTGATCAATAAATGAGAATCTGGATAAGACTCATGAATAAGATCAAAGGTGTAGGTTTAACAGATGTTCACTATTTATTTCAAATAAAAGTCCAAAACATGGTGTATCATTCAAAAATAAGAAAACTAAATGGGACAAAATATGATATAAATAGATAATGAAAGAGAATTGTCATAGTTTTCATTTTATAACCGTAACTTAGAAATTATAAGGTGTTCGTAACACATGAGCTAAGTATTAGAGAAAAAGATACAAGATTAAAAAGATAAAATGAGGTTTATTTAAAAAGAGAGAACAAGGGCCGGGGATATAGCTCAGTGGCATAAGCGCCTGCTTGGCAAGTGCAAGGTCCTGAGCTCGATTTCCAGAACCAAAAAGAAAAAAAAAGTAAAAAGAAAGAATAGCACTATGTCAGGGTAACCTTTCATAAGTGAAGTATTTATCATGAGGAGGAACACACTGAATAGGTGTAGGTAGGCATTTGGAGTTTACCATATCAAGACAAAATAACTAGGATTTTAGGAGTTGTGAGCAGGTGAATGAAGAATATAATGTGCATTAGAATTTATTGTAAATTTGAATTTAAAATATTTGGTTTATATTTAAGAATTTTCTCCGCATATCACTGTTAAGCTACGTAACTACTACTCATAAGTATAAATATTTTAACAGTAACAAAATAGTAACAGTACATACTATGTGTCCGGGTACTGTTCTAGATTTTTATCTGTTTCAAACTGTAAAGTCATGTTAGATACTTTTATTTTGGTAGCTTCACAGACACAATGAGAACAAATCACAGTCTTTAAGTGTTGTAACTCAACTCTCACCCAAGATAGCTCGCTTGAGGGCCTGCTGAAGTAAGGTTAAGCTCACTATATGGATGACATCCCATTGCAAATGAAGCTCTGATTCCTGAATCGATGAAGATTTGTTTGGGACTTGATGTAGCATTAATAAGATTTTCTTGAGACCTAAGGGACATTGATAAAGCAAAATATTTTAACTCTGTTAGGAAGATCAGATTTGTAAGAAACGAGGTTCAGAACTGGGAGATGAAATACAAAATGCCGCTTAGCCTGTCTGGAGGAAGCCCTGGAACCAAGCACAGCCCACCAAATGTGCCTAATTCTGAGAAGTGTGAGGAAACTCATCCTGGATTCCACTGACACTGCATTCTATGCTGAGGATTTCCAAATTGCTACAGAGAGATGAGACTCGCTCTGGGTAAATCGAAGCTATGCACTTTGCATTATATAGTGCATGGGTGCAGGTAACAAAGGCTCACCACAGAGTTCTCTGCCTGCAGCACGGTACAGTCATCTGCCTTCAGGGAGATGGTGTCACTCCACAGTGGGACCAGACAGCGCCCTGCTCCTCTGTGCATAGCTGGTCTTCCTTGTACCCACATTTTGGGACTAATGAGTGTTATCTTTAACATAACCTCACCAAGAATGACATGGATGTACGAGCTTTGAGAAGTAAACATGAGCAACAAAGGAAAGGTATGCCTGGGAGGTAGAATTCTGATTGACTCCTCCTTTGAATCTTGTGTCACCATGTACTTTTGGAGGTGAGGAGGCATAAAGGGGGACAAGAGAAAGAAATAGACAGACTTTTATTTTGTTCCCTAAGGCTCCCATCAAAACCCTCTGGCTTGTTTACAA